TACTGTTCTTACTTCTTAGTAAATTGATTCCTATACTTTTGTTTTTTACATAATTTTTCTAAATATGTAATTATTATCTTTTTGATACGTATGATACTATGCTATGCTATTATTTATTTAAGACGAATAACATCTGGTTCATATGAGTAACAAAACAATGTATTTTATTACGTATTAACCATTATTATTTATTAACTTATTATTATCATTGTTATTATAACAAGTACGTATACAAACATTGTTAACAATTTAAATTGATTTAGTATTGTATTAAGTACCTATTGTATTAAAAAAAAAAAAAAAACATAATATTTGTACATACAGCGAGTAATTAGAAATACAGAAATTAGGTAGGAAGTTTATCGTTGGGCCGAAATCCTACATAAACACCATTTTCTTCTGGATAAGTCTGTCTTATTTTATAAATAACACTTGATGGAATTACTATCCTATTTCCCTTTCCAGTCGTTGTCCATGCATTTATCCACAAAATAAACTGTTTGTAAGCCAAGTATCGCCAGACTTTATTTTGTGGTTCACTTTTACACAAAACTTTTTTTTCTGTTAAACTTTAAAAAAAACAATAAATTAAATTAATATAATACAAAGTATAAAATAATATATTTTTCTATTAAAACCTATTAATTCAGAACCTTAAAGCATACAATTTAGAATAGTGATGGTGTTATGCTTGACGCTGGTACTTATACAATATAATTTATCAACTAAATCTTTTAAAATGGACTCAACATGACCCTCTAACATTAATAAAGTATAGCATAAATGTATGTACATCAAATAAATGCATAAATACATTAAATAATGATAATATGTTATGTGATGTTATGTTACGCATTTGTTTTTGTGAGACAAAGACAACTGGGAGTAGCATCCTTACAAATCAACATAATGACAGTTATGCATATATAATAAAAATAAGTACCAATTTGTATTTAAGTTGCCTATTTAAATATAATTATGTATGCATCATATTTTTGAATACGTACACATTCAAAATTGATCTATAAAAAGGTAAGACCAATGATATTATCATTATATTATATATTATAATAAAAGGCAATTCGTTGCACTTCCTTATTATTATTATTGTTGCGTTGTTAATAATCAATAATTTAAATTTTCCCTCTAAAAGTATAAGCCAATCGGAGAGCCGGATTCAATCATGGATTTTATTTCGTGTGCAGAATGGTAATATCCGAATAATTTTTCTAGTAATTTAGATCCCGAGACAAGTAGGTCTCCTAGGTCAAATAGTTCCTCAGGGTTAATTAGATCCCCTGTTAACTAGATCCTGTTTGTGTCCTTTAGATCTTGAGGATCTAGTTAACCGGGGATCTAGGTGGCCATTCACTGACCATCCTAATCGTTTATGTTTTATATACTCTGTGGCTGTATAGTGTATTATCTTTGGTATTTTAGGTTAGGTTATCAACACAAACAACGAAACTAAGACACTGATAGTGAAATTAAATCTAAAGCCGCTTTTGCAAGTCATACGGGCATACGGTTGAATTATACTTAATATTCTTAGTGTTTTACGAAGTTCATAATTCTTATTATACTTAAATAATTTTAGTGTTAACTCCAAAATCCCAATTAAATTAATTCAGGTAAGCGTTTGTTTTTAATTATTTATTTTGTGTACTCCCAAAAAATGTCCCATCAATACATCATGACAAAGATAAACCTGCTCTAGCTACCTACGTATCGAACAATGTATTGAGTAATATTGTCAATTATTTAAATTTCTATGAAAAATGTAACAATGAATTCAAATCAAATAATTTATGAGCTAAATTTAAATTGTGCATAATTCTAATAAGTAAATAAAAAGTGCCAAAGCTTAAATTTTAAAACTTATTGTGTAAACAAATAAAAATATTGTTTTATTTAAATTGTATCTATTATGCAGCTTTTTATACACTACACTTGATAGTTTTATTTTCAAGCAAAATATATAATTAAATATGTAATGCAAATGGTAAACATTTGTTAAATTTTTTCCTAGTAAATAATATGTTGTAATATGTGTCGTGTAGTAATCTACAAAATAGATAAACTTAATTTAACTTTTTTATATATGTTTTAAGGAAATGTAACTATTTTTTTCAATATTATGAATGTAAAAAATATATTTAGTTAAAATTACTAAAAATTATATTTGATTATTGAAATTCCAGACATATTTTCAAGCTTCTAATCATGTTCTTAACACGTTCAGAATACGATAGAGGAGTAAACACATTCTCTCCAGAAGGCAGACTTTTTCAGGTATAAATTTAATTCTAAGATAAAAAATGTGGGATTTAGTATATCACTGTAACTTTATTCCTCTAAATAATCAATATTGTTCTAATTTTTCAGGTAGAATATGCTATTGAAGCGATTAAATTGGGTTCCACGGCCATTGGCATTTGTACACCTGAAGGAGTAGTATTAGGTGTAGAGAAACGTATCACTTCACCTCTAATGATTACTAGCAAGATAGAAAAGATCTTTGAAGTTGATAAGCACATTGGTATGTAGAATGCCTGAAAACTATAAAAGAATCATTAGTAAATTATTATACTATAGTCAAAATAATACCGGATAACTTTCAGGTTGCGCAGTTAGTGGGCTGATTGCAGACTCTCGTACAATGGTTGAAAGGGCTAGAGCTGAGTCACAAAACCATTGGTTTACATACAACGAACAAATGAGTGTTGAATCTGTTGCCCAAGCTGTATCTAATCTAGCCATACAATTCAGTGGAGACCATGATAGCAAAGAACCAGCAATGGTAAAATATAAATTATTAAAGCATTATTTAAATGAGTGTTTGTCATTAGCTATATTATAAATTTTACCTTTTTTTCCAGAGTCGTCCATTTGGTGTTGCAATTATGTTTGCAGGTATTGATAATAATGGCCCACAACTATTTCATTTGGATCCATCAGGTACATATGTCCAGTATAATGCTAAAGCTATTGGATCAGGTAGTGAAGGTGCCCAACAGACATTGCAAGATAAATATCACAAAGTACATAATATTATAAATTTTAAAAGAAAAAAAAAACTAGATGTAAGTAAATTATTATTATTAATTATTTCTATTTTGTAGTCTATGGGATTAAATGAAGCTATTAATGTTATTCTGAACATACTGAAACAAGTAATGGAGGATAAACTCAGTCCTACTAATATCGAGATTGTTACTGTGACACCTGAAAAACTGTACCACATGTTGGATAAAGATGAACTTCAAGAAGTTAGTAATTGATCACTATAAACAAAATATATTTGATAATCTATTAATTTTTGTTATATTTTAGGTGTTTGATAAGCTTGTACCTTTCCCAGAGGAAACCAAGGCTAGTTCATCAGCTGCTGTTTCTGGAACTGTCGCTTAAAACAAATTTTGGTCATAAAAATTAAATAATTTAATCATATTTCATTGGTGTATGTCACTTTGGAGAAAAAATATACAATCGCTATTTTTCATATGATATGTATTTGTTTTAAACATTCTTGCTTTTTTTTTTAACTAAATATTATTAGAATGGACATTTTTCTGTATGATTATACTTTAATATAGTATTAATCAGTTGATTTCTTTTAAAAAAATCAAAATGATTTAAATTTTAAAAGAGCTTTTCCTCAGAGAAAACTATTTATTTATCAATTTTCCTTCGTATTATTAAATTTTTTAGCTTATTTAAAACTTAAATGTAAAGATGCTAAAATAAAATTATAAATTATTAAAATCAAACTCATTGAAATACCTTTTTATATGGTTATATTGTATTATATGGTAATAATGTTACATTTATTGTCAATACATCAATATATGTAACAATTAACATTATTAATATATTCCAAACCTCGTAAAGTTAAAAATGTGTGAATAAGCTGTGTATACAACAGTTTATATTTATAATAAGCTTAGACTCAAATTTGATTAAATTAATTCCAAATGTATATATGAAATATTAGAAATGTAGGAAAATAAATTAATCTAAAGAATACAACTAGCCATTATAAATTTAAATGAATAAGTATTCAATAACTTTTTGTACTATGAAGCAAGTTAATTTAGAAAACATAAATAGTTCATGAACTGAAAAAATTCATTTTTTAACCCCACTTACTAGGGTATGATACTTGTACCATAGACAAGAATACTAATATTAAAATCACTATTTGTGAATTTATGTTGTAATACTTATGTTTTATTATGTTTTTGCAAATGTTTAACTTGAATTTTTATTTGTGATGTGAAAATGGTTATTATCGTATGGTATAATATACAAGTGTTACAGACTAGATAAATTTCTATAATTCACAAGACAATATTAAATTGTAAGATTAATGCTAAGGGTAACTTATCCCATGGCGGGTTATACCAAACATGTATAAAACTAAAAACAACATAACACCTATACAACTGGTTGGCTAAGTACAAATCTATAATTAAATTTGGTGGGAAAAACTTGATTACTCTGCGTCTCCTAAGTGCCTAGGAGTTAAGCTTGATAAACTGTTAACTTTCCAACGGCATATAGAGAACACTATGGCTAAGCTTAACATTTAAAACAACATCATTCACAAATTAGCTGGCTCATCCTGGGAAGCAACAATGCCTAAAATGAGAACATGCGCCATAGTGCTAGAGTTTCTGCAGAGTATGGCTAAACAGTTTGCATTGTAACAAGATCAATATTCAACTATATCACTCAATGTGCATTATCTTTAGAACTATCAAATCGACAGTTCCCAGTTCTTAGCAAAATTATGCCACCACATAATAAGTGTCAAAAAACTGCTCACAGAGTGCACCCATCCAGCTCCGGCAAGATATTATAAACCTGAAATTTAGATGACAATTTAGAAAATTGCATATCTTACTAGTATCTACAATCAACATTATGGTAATATCCCTATTATATTGATTAAAAATTTTAACATGCCTCATCAGAATCACAAAAAAGTGCACACATGATTATAATTAATAAGTATATTTTATTATTTACCTTGTAAAGCCAGTTATAACATGATTCATTATTGATAAATGTATAAAAATATAAAAAGATATTATATAACTGGAAGGACTTCCTAAAATTAATTTCATTGTTTACAATGTTCATAGTTAGTATAACCAAACAAATGAAAATAATGAGATTCACAATAATACTTAAAAATATTGGACAACTTTAAAAGTAAATTGCAAGCAATTTGTAAAAGTATTGCATATACATTTTAAATATAAATTAAATTAAAACGTTTAGATATGCCCAACAATTTTGAAATTATAGTAACATTTTAAATAATATTAGTTTTAAAAATTTAGTTACGTTTATAATACTTAAAAAAATAAATATATAATCAACAGTAGAAATAATTTCACATTAACATTGACAATTTAATGGCTAAAATCTTTCAAATTAATAATTTAAAATACAAAAAAAAATATAATAATGATTGTACCCTTGTTTTATCTTCCTTATCACTAAAAGAGTAAAACCTAAAAGTATCATAGTTTTTTCTGGAAATTCCTTAAAGTTGAAAATTATGAATACTAGATGAAGCATACTCTTGTCTGTACATGGCACCTTTGTGGGAGCGACCAGTCCTATTAGAAAATTCAGAAAACCGATCTTGGTCCATCATTGGCTGTGGCATCAACATAACTGGTTGCAAATTCAATGACTTTCTAGAACCAGCCATTGATGCACTACTGTCGCCTAAATATCCACCATTGAGCTCACCTAAAGAAAAAAATATTTGTTTAATATTGTGTTTTATTCATCTAAATAATTAAGATATCAAAAAATTACCTTTGCGCAATGTAGATGCGTATAAGGGTTCTGGTTGAAGTTTTATATGCCTTGTGGCTAAAATAAAAGCCAAAGCCGATAGAATAAGTGCATCCACACTTGCAATGACTGCTAACAAATATGCCCAACGAAAATTACAGTCACCAAGACTGTAGCTTTTAGCATCTGGACCACATGTTTTCTGAATATTTGGTGAATCCCAGCCCATTGGAAAAACCACAATGGACACGATCAGACATCCAGCTAAATATTAAATACCATTCCAATGAAATACATATAATTATAATTAGGTAGATGGGTAAATAATGTGAAAAAAAATTACCGGATAAAACGTGTAGCCATCCACAAATAAGGTACACTGTAGTCGATTGAAATATAAAGAACAGCAACAACATCACCACAATAATTATGGCAATGCACACAGACACACTGCCAAAAATAGCCGCCACTCTTATGGCTACGCTTGATATGTTCGACAGATCTTCCAGTTTTCCCTGACAGTCCTCGATAGCACTCGACACACCATTGCCGAAGTAACAGCTGCTCCATAAACCGAAACGGGCAGGATTTTCAGATGTTGTAGTGTCACCTATCCATTCTGGAGTGATGAAGGCCACTGCTACAATTATTGCGTAGCAAACTGTAAATATACCCCACAATACGCCAACCGCTTTTGCGTTACGCACATAGTTTGTGGCGTACATCTGCGACGAGTCCACGTATTCTATTTTGGAACCCATTTCTTAAACAGATTCCAATCGGATGAAAACCGCGCAACAAGTATACCTTGATTTATGGCAAATACATCATATTGTTGCCTAGTTGGACTCACCGTTACGAAAACGACTCAAGCAGAAATTGAATGGTCCAATTGCCGTCTCGTTTCAGTGAATTTCAATAATTGTCTAGGTTATAACTTATAACGGACTGTGATATTTGGCGCTCAGAGACGAGACCCACTTATTTTCACATAATACACACAATATCGTTCTCGTTAGATAATGACGGTGGGGACGAACCTCGCGAACTATAGAGTTGACCACAACACCATTCTACAACTCACTAACTCAATACTTACAAGACTGAAGAGTGAACGTCTACAAGAAACCATAGAATGATAACTGATTTAGTCGAAGACATGGCAAAACAATGATAGAAATTTTGATAAAAAATGTCATGGAGGAAGTGCCTCAAAATATTGCTTATAATCAAGATTTTCAAGAAGAAAAATTCGATACGTATTCGAAATAGTTACGTACCGCCTCGTATCGGAGTCCGAGTCCGATACGGGTCGGTACGTATCGCTTGTATATTGCACGTGTAACATCTTGAACGCTCAAAATTGACCCGATACGTACCGATACACTCCAAATTCTTTCTTGAAAATCTTGAATATACAACTATTATTATACTATTATATTAATTATTATATCGTCCATATTATCACAAATTATTAATAATATAATATTATTAAATAACATAAATAAAATATTATAAACTATATTTAGTTTAATATAATCTGTGATATTATCTTATTATTTCAGCGTTTACCTGTAACGAAATTACTTTTGCAACAACGCTGTAGTATTATAATAATAACTAATTGTATTACCTGTATTTTATTCAATTGTAACGAAATTACTGTACAGTAAATTGATATTTTCCAGGTTATTTAAATAAGTTATGTATAGAATATTAGAATGTAAGACAAAAACTAGAGGCTAGGATATTCGGGAAAAATTTTAAATCAATACAATTTATTTTCGATTTCAAAAGTTTTTGATGGTAAATAATAATCAACAAAATTATTTAATGTCCCAATAATTAATACTTATACTTAAACATTTTGTTCATGTATAATATTAAGACATTACTCATTAGTCATTAACTATGTAACTACTATAATACTTATTAGTCTTTATATGAACTGGTTTTGTAATTAATTTTAAAAAAAAGTTAGGTTATTTGTAACGCTCTACTTTTTGTAAGAAATAGTAAAGTAATGTGATGAAAATAATATCGAGTTACTCGAATGTAATTTATATAAAAATATTTAATGTAACGACTAACAAGTAACGTAAATGTGTTACTTTTCAAAATTAATTTACCGGACACCATGATTTAAGAATTTTAGATAGTACCTACTATCTTAAATTGTGCCTTATAGTGGGTCGTTATTACTACATCCTATTGCCTTAATAACTTCTTCAAATAATTGATGATACACAAAATATATTTTCAAAACCGTTTTCAGAAATATAATGGTTTGTACTTACTTTGCTTTTATATAATATTTATACAAAAACAAGACCATTGGGGGGGAGGGGCTGGATACAACACAAGGTGGACCTATGTCCTGCTTACTTGAAGCCACGATTAAAGCTTAGATCATATATTAGTATATTTTTGTAATTAATATATATAAATATAAACAATCAGCAAAATATGCGTCGATTCGTCACACTCATGCGCACATCAAGTACCTCTTTTAGAGATTATCGGTTATAGGTATTATGTGTCTTAAAAAATTTACATGGGGACGATGGGCTCCGTCCTTACCTACCTATAACAAAAAAAAGGAACCTATTATTACTAGGACTGGGATTTCGATGCACTTACCATTTTTTTCTGAATCTTTCTGTACGATGCTGGTTTTGTAAAAAATATGTTTTAAGTATTTTTAAATTAGAATAAGAACTTTCATTTTGCATTTTTTTGCATTTTTTGACAATTTTTGATTTTAAGATCATTTCTCACGCTCTCGCGAGTGATTCGGTGTAGCAATAAAGAATAATGTTTTTTTTATTGATATATGGAGTAAAATAAAATATTTATGCACATGTAATGTAATTTTTTTAAATTTTAAGCTATTATTTATACATTTTAAAGACATTTTTTTAATGCATTTTTTGAATTTTTAAGTTATTTTTGAATTTTTTAAGGTCATTTTTCGAGATTTTTTATAAGACATTAAAATCCCTGCAGTCCTAATTTTTACCTACAACTCAAACTCTGTGCAAAGCGATCCACCACGCGTTTCCGGATTCGTGCAGTACAAAACCATGTTGTATTTTTACAACATAGTAACTTGATGAATCCTTAGTGTGTATCTAAACAATTTTTTTGTTTTTTCTATACTGCAGCAGTGCAGCTGATATTGTGTTCTCTTTATTAATAAACAATAAATATCCGTTTAGATTGTGTCCCTACGGCCTACGTGTTATATTTTAAGTGTTGGATGCCATAATACGTACTTTAGTATAGCTAGATTATACTATATAGGTACCTAATTAATTATTGATTTTGAATACTATTTATACTTCAATTTTATCTGTCATAACCGACTAAAAAAAAACCAGGTGATCCATATAACGTAAGATACTCATTATTTTAATAGCAATTAACGTTATTGAAGATTTTTTTAAAATAATATTTATTGCTTAAAAAACATGTTTTCTAAAAAAAAATTTTTACTTTTTTACTATTATAATTTTTAGATCCTGAGCTTAGTTATGAATGTATTGTTTTTCCAATGATGTATATGTTTTTTTTATTTGTCATCAACTTTTGGGGTATTATAAAAATTCTCCGATTTTCGAACCAGGATCTTTTCTGGTAAAAAAATGAATCTAGTAAGTGTATGTGGGAGGTCAAAATTGAAAATTCCCAGTAATTTTTTAAAGCGTTGGGATTTTGGAAATAACAGAAAACGCTAGAAAGTAGGTAATGCTCAGTTGTACACTAGGTGTCTCGAGAATCACTGTAATGGATGTGTTAAATTTGAGTTAATTTATGTTGTCAAAAGTTGGAATTTTAACAAAATTAGAATAGATCACGAAAATGTACAAATAATTTTCAATTAAAAATGTATACAAATGTTTCTATTTATATCTAAAATTTTAAAATTTAATAGAAGATTCCTGATAAGTTTTCCTACCTTTAACAAAAAAAGTTAACCCAAAAATCGAATTAATTTTAATGAGTGTTTAAATTTCAATTTTGTCGACATTGGATATTCTCTTGTAAGTTGATGAATTTTCATCAAGTGATTTTCTTATTTTTTTGTAGTTCAAAAATACATAACCGTAGATACTTAATCCACCAAATGATTATTTTATCATTTCATATACATGATAAAATATTCATATACCATAAATTAATTCAAATTCGAACAAAATATGATATTTAAACTAATAATAACGAATTCAAAAAATGTTATTTGTATGCACTTGAAACTTTTATACACTTCGAGTCTTCGTTTACCTATATTATTATTTACACAATGCAATTTCAAAATATTTAGATTCGTTCTAAGCTATTCACACAACGAAACTATATTCATTATATAACGTTCTAAGGTTCACTGGAATTGTGTTATGAGTTAATAATATCTTGTAATGACTAATATTATAATATTATGAAATATAAGATAATATATTATAATATTATTTTTTTATTTTTTATAAGATATATATAATCTGTTCCTTTGGGGACAATAAGAATATGTGATATTAGAAAGTATTTACATGAAAACGAGATGGGAGGAGTCACCCAGTGGTTACACTACCCTTGCTTGATAATTTTTTTTTTTTATGTATAAAGCTACTTTAATTACTCATTGAGAAGATCTCTACACCATTTCCTTCTGAGCCTCCTGGAAGGGTTCCCAGGAATTGTGAAGATGGCAAGGTTTGAAATGAGGGGGTTGATATAAGAAGGGAGTTTTGAAGGGAAACGTTTGTAAAAGGTTATTAATATAATTAATAATTAAATATACAGTGGTCACCGCTTAATGTAATCATTTTGGTACGGGATATAACTGATAACATAATCCGATTGATAACACTAAACGAAAGTTAAAAAAGTTATAAAAATAATAAAACCTACCCTACATAAGTAGGTATACATTGGAAATTTAAAATTTAAAATAAATATGTATAATATGTACGGATGCATACAAACGCGATACTGGTCGACGGACAGCGTCCTTAAGGATATTGGTTATGACTTTTATTTAAGGGGCAACAATTAGATAATTTCTAATCTCGTCGTACAGCCGGGACCTAAGAATTAGTCGTAAATTAATAATTATAATTATAAGTGTGAGTGGGGTTCAATGTGGGTAGGTACCGAATACTGAGTACCTACCGGCAAATGCCATTCTGGAACGCATATGCACGTCATGTATATTTAACTCGATATGATGCGGTGATGCCCAACTGCGTTTTTTTTTAAACTGCAAACTTTAGTATTTAAATTATTTTTTCAGAGAGTGACAAAGAGTTGATTCTACATAACACAAATAAATATTGATCTAGATTCTAGACGACAGCGGAAAAATGGGAATATAAAATAGTTATGTACAAATTATTACTCATCATAATTTGCATATTCCACGATTTAAGGATTTTAAAGAATATACTTTACGTAATTACGTATAACCGTGATATAGTCGCTGTTCAATTGAGATAAGCTGATCATAAAATTAATAATCGATATTCGATGGGCTCAATAGACCTCAATAATCCGGCAAAGTTTCACCAAATTTCATCCAGAAAAGTGTCATTTTTTAGCTACAAGCCTCCAAAAGTATCTTTTTTCATGTTACGAAAAAGATAAAGAGTTTGCTATCTTGTTTTACCCATAATTATGATGATATCATCATAAATATTATAATTTATAGTTAACAATGTCAAACGTCAACTTACCTAGACACTTAGTGCTTTGAGCCTCTGACAAAATTAAATTTAAAGTAGTCTGATTTTAAATCTGAAAAAAAAGATTTTGATTCAGCAAAATATGTCTACAGATAGTACTTAACATTTTCTATTTTTAATTTTTGGTTTAATTACAGCATTAATTAGATAAAACCCGTATTTTCAAGTTTTTAATAATTGCAGTTCAAAATGAAATAAGATTACATTTTTTCAGTGTTCCGTACAGTCTATATATATTTTATATTTATCAAATTTGATCAATGTATATTTAATGTATTTTTATCGAAGAATTCAAATCTTCTGTTCAGAGTTAAACTCTAATGTTAATTATCTTTCACTTTGTCAAAACTTTAGATATTTTGAACTAAAATTTACTGTAGTAGCGACTATGGAGAG